GTCACTACAGAATACAGTATGTAGACTCCTCAAAAAATTTAAAAATTAAACTACCATATAATTCTGCAATCCAGTGTCTGAGTATATATCTAAAAGAACAAAACCCAACATATTGAAGAGATAGCTGTACTACCATGTTTACTGAAGTACAATTTACAATAGCCAAAATGTAAAATTTACCTAAGTTCTATCAATGAATAAATGGATAAAGAACATGTGGAGTATATATATACACAAAGGAATATTATTCTGTCATGAAAAAATGAAATCTTGTCATTTGCAACATGGATGGAACTGGAGGACATTATGTTAAGTATGATAAGCCAGGCATAGAAAGAAAAATGTATGTTCTTATTTGTGGGAGCTATATCGTGGAGGTAGTAAATAGAATGGTGGATACTAGAGGAGGGGAGGGGGATAAAAAGAGACTGTCTATTGGGTACAAAAATACAGTTAGAAGGAATAAAATCTAATGTTTGCTAGCAAAATAGGGCAACTATATTTAACAATAATTTATTATATATTTTAAAATAGCTAGAAGAGTAGATTTTGGTGTGCTCCTAATATAAAGATTTGATAAATGTTTGAAGTGAAAAATATTTCAGTTGCCCAGATTTGATCATTATACCTTGTATGTTTACATCAAAATATCAGATGTACTACATAAATGTGTACAACTATTATATATGTGTAAAAATTAAAAAGTCATTAAAAAAGAAGTATTTCCCCAACATGGATAAATGGAAGTAATTCATCAACACTATACTACTCCTAAAATCAATTATTAAGAAAGTGCTTTAACCAGAAGAAAAGAACAATAATTATTATCACGAAAACATAGGAAAGTATAAAACTCACTGGTAGAGGTAAATTCATCATTAAATTAAGAATACTTCATTACTCCAGTGGTAGTATATAAATTCTTTAACTGTGTAAGATGAAGGTTAAAAGTCAATATAGTGTTAAATAAATCTAGCTGCCATAATTTTTTAAGGAATGCACAGTATAGAAATATGCAAAGTGTGGCAGCAAAAATATAAATTGTAAGAACAGGATAAGAGTCTAGAATATTTGTATGTGACCAAAGTTGTTATCAGCTTAAAATATTCTATTGTAACTACAAGATTTTTATGTAAGCTTCATGGTAACTAAAAAGTAAAAAGTTACAGCAGATATACAAATGAAAAAGAGAATGGAATAAAAGCTTAGCACTACAGAAAATTACCAAACCACAAAGGTAAACAACATGAGAGGAAGAAACAAAGGATATATTTTAAAAAACAGAAAGCAATATACAAATGATAAGAGCAAGCCCTTACCTATCAATAATAGCCTTGAATGTAAGTAACTGAATGGGCAAAAATAAAAGTAAAAACTAAGCAAGATGTAACTATATGCTCCTTACAAGAGACTCATTTTATCTTTAAGTACACATAGACAAAAAATGAAGGAAGGGAAGAGGTTATTCCATGCAAAAAGTAACCAAAAGTCAGCAGGAGTGATTATACTTATATAATATACTTATAAAATAGACTTCAATTCAAAAACTGTTACAAAAAACAAAGATAGTCATCATTTAATGATAAAAATGTCAATTCTTCAAGAGGATATAACAATTATAAAAATATATATGCACCCAACATTGGAGATTTAGATATATAAGCAAATGTTAGAATGTGAAGGAAGAAACATAAAAATAAAATAATAGCTGAGGACTTCAATAACCCTCTTTCAACAATGGATGTAACAACCAGACACAAAGTTGACACAAAATAGAAGGCCAACTGTATAGCTATAGATAGATATAGATGTAGATATAGATAGATATCTTGAACTGAAATACGTACTGCTAACAAAAGAACCAAGTTTGTAGTTTGAATCTAACCTGATTTCTCCTAAAACAAAAACATCAAAACTATTCAGAGGAATCTAACGGGATTTAGAGTCTCCACAATATTACAGTCACAATGTCCAGGATACTACGTTTTTTTCTCCAGTAAGGGAAAAAAATATGTGTGGATCCTAATTCTGTGTAATGTTCCTATTCATGTTAATTTTGCTATTTCTTCTGTTTCCTCAATTAATTGAAGTAAAACTTTTAAACCAAAGGGTCAGGAAAGTTATTTGAGAAATTCAAATAGATACCACAACCATTCAGGAGGGGGATATAAACTCCAAGGAATTGAGTAGGCACTCAGTACCCTGAAGCCTTCAAGAAGGAAAACAAAGTTATGTGCTAGTGGCTGACCACAGGATGTGAAACAGCCCTATTTTATTAGCAAGAGGCTTACCACTATATCATCCCCAGTGCCAAAGTGAACTTTCCAAAGCACCAATCCAAAAACATCAGTCTCTTTCTTAGGACTCTTAGTGGATTGTATTGGCCACTGCAATGATTTTAAAACTTTGCCTAGCTACATTTTTTCCAAATAAAATATTATTTGGAACCTCAGGGCATATAAAATAGACAAAAGTAAGGCCGCGTAGGAGATTGAGGTATCACAAATCTGACTTCTCAAGATTTGCTCATGTGTGTTAGTAGTCCTGATTCACTCTCTTGGACACCAGAGAACAGAGGATGATCACCTCAAGCCTATAGAGATACTGACTTTTTTTTTTTTTTAATTGTAGTCTCACTCTGTCGCCCAGGTTGGAGTGCTGTGGCATGCTCATGGCAATCCTTCCGCCTCAGCCTTCCAAGTAGCCAGAGCTACAGGCGTGCATGCACTACAATGCTGGGCTAATCTTTGATTTATTGTAGAGATGAAGTCTCGACAAGTTGCCCGGACTGGTCATGAACCCCCGGGCTCAGGTAATTCACTCGCCTCCGCCTCCTTAAGTGCTGGGATTACAGGCTGAGCCACCGAGCCTGGCCTGATATTGACTTCTTAACGTAACATCAGAAGCTTCCACAATTTGACTCCAAAATATGTTTCCAATCCTCTCCTCTGTCACTAAACCAACAACACAAGTTCCAACGATTCTGGACTGTTAGTGGTATCTTACCATACACAGTTTCTGTCTGGAAAACTTTCTCACAAGAGTAGTAGGAGAATTGTTTCTCCCAGCTCAGCAACCCTTTCTTTTCCCAGGACTTCTTCTAGGAGAATTTCACATATTCTTCTATAAAAGCACTTAATAAACACTGCATTGTAATTGTGGTCCACTTAAGTCTGTGATCCACTTAAGTTACTCTCATCTTATGACCAGTCTCAGTATGGTGAATACTGAAAGAAAAAAAAAAGTCTATTACTAAATGTTTTAAAGAATACTATACATCTTTATCGAAATTATTAAGTCACACTGAGGTAGGACTACAGAAAACTAACATCAAAATTTTCCCCGGCCAGGCTCGGAGGTTCAGCCTGTAATCCCAGCGCTTTGGGAGACCCAGGTGAGCGAATTGCCTGAGCCCGCGTGTTCGAGAACCGCCTGAGCAACTTGGCGAGACCTCATCTCTACAATAAATCAAAAATTAGCCGGGCGTGGTAGCGCGCACCTGTAATTCCGGCTACTTGGAAGGCTGAGGCGGAAGGATCGTCGCAGCCCAGCAGGCAAGGCTGCGGTGGCCAGGATCGGCCACTGCACTCCAGTCTGAGTGACAGAGTGAGACTCCAACTCAAAAAAAAAAAAAAAAAAAAGTTCCCCAATTCTATTTTGCCACTTTTCCTTTCTCTCTAATGATATTTTTATATCTATTTAAATATTTCCAATCTCTGTCTTGAAAATCTTCAGTATGCACTGAATTCTTCCTCACTCCATTATTCCTTTTTTCTCATTATCCTCTTTTTATTTCTTTCATGGAGATGTCTCAAGTACTTCCATATGAAAATTAACTTATCTCATTTAAATTATTCCAAATCTACCCATTACTCAGCCCAACAAAGACCCAAAAAAGGGTCCAGCTTAGAAGATAAGGGAGAGAGAAAAAGCATGAATATGTATTATTTAGTATTTTTGTCCCCAATTATGTGCCAATCTATATTCCACAAGACTGTGAGCTTTCTGACCTTGTTTTCATTTTTGTTTCCAGATTATTTCATGTTTTTTAAAATATTGCCAATAGCTCAATGCCTGAGACAAAATAGATATACAGTAAATTTTGGTTGATCAAATAATTGAAGAAGTCAAAAATGACTGAATGAATTAATGAAAGCTCATAGTCCATAGGAAATTCATGAAACTGCAAAAAATTACCCAATTTTTTACACTGTAAACCCATTATCACTGTTCTCAGAAAACTGTGCAATCAATTTCTTTAGAAACAAGGTAATTATTTTTGAATCATTTAGCAGTAGCAATGGTTTTCATTCAAAGACACAATTGCTCAACTATTGAAACACAAAGTAGGCCAACCTTCCCCATCAGTTGAGTTGTCTGCAGAAAGTCTCACATTGTCTTAGGCACACACCTCTGCACAGAAGAGGGCTTGCCAGTTTGCAACCAAAAGAAAATCAACCCTTGGAAAAAATAGCTTCATTTTTCTATTTCTTTTTCCTGTATGACATATTTAAAAGTCAGGTGCCTAATACCTTAAAATGTTTCCTCTTTACCCCTGTATGACTAAAGCTAACTCATAATAAATTATCTACTATTGATTTCATATAGTACTCTGATTCTTAATAAGACACTTTCTATTTGCTCTTCCTACGAATGATGTGACTAGAAGACCAAGGCACATAAAGGATAAAAGGTTAAGTTAGTTACACAGATTATACAACTCAGCATCTCAAGATTAAACTAAACTCTAACATCCATGAAAAGGAGGGTGGTTTGAATGAGAATCCTTTATCCATAAATGCATGTACCTCTCTTCCTTAACTCCATCATGAAGAGAAAAGATAAATCCTAGATTTCCTTCATTCATTTAAATATTGGGAAAAGAAAAATAAGAATTTCGGGAATTAGTGGCATCACCAATCCTTATATTTATTTTGGAACCTCCAGGTGAGAACTAACCTTACATTCAGAGCACAATAAATTTTAAAATAAAATATCATTCACATTCCTTCTGAGAAGCGTTTTTGACACAATATGTTCTTCACAGCAACCTTCACATCTTTGTTCCTCAAACTGTAGATGAGGGGATTAAGCATAGGTGTCAACACTCCATAGAAGAGAGAGATGATTTTGTCTGTAACTTGATCTTTGCACCAGAAAGCCTTGGGTTTTGCATACATGAAGAGAATGGTCCCATAGAATATAATCACCACTGTTAGATGAGTAGAGCCAGTGGAAAAGGCTTTGTGCCGTCCTTCTGCGGAAGGAATCCTCAGGATGGTGGAGAGGATGAAAACATATGAAACAAAAATAAAAAGTACTGGGCCCACAAGAAAAATCATATTAGCAATAATCATGCTAATAACATTTATGGAGATATCAGCACAAGCCAATTTTAAGACGGCCAAGATTTCACAACTGAAATGAGTAACGATATTGTCCCCACAGAAAGGAAGCCGCATCGCCAGAGAGGTTTGCAACATAGAATTCACACCTCCTGCAATCCAGGTCCCAGCAGCCATGGGCACATATGAAGCCTTGCTTATGATGACGAGGTATCTCAGAGGATTACAGATGGCCACATAGCGGTCAAACGCTATCACACTTAGAAGGACACGCTCTGTTTCTCCCATAGCAAGGGAAAGAAACATTTGCACTCCACACCCAGAGAAGGAAATGGTTTTCTTTGAAGTTAAGAAGCTGCTGAGAAACAGAGGAATAGACGAACTAGTGTAGCAGATGTCCAAGAATGTTAAGTTACTGAGGAAAAAGTACATGGGGGTGTGCAAGTGGGAGTCATAAACACACACAAAGATGATGCCTTTGTTTCCCAGCAGGATCGCCAGATACATACATATGCCATCACAAAGTAAACAGCCTCGAGCTCTGGGTAATCTGAAAACCCCAGCAGGACAAATTCTGTCACAGAAGACTGATTGAACTTTCCCATGTTAATATTTTCTTTCACCAACAGGAATTCTGTAGTGACTGGAATGTATGTGGATCTGTTAGAGCAGTGTCTGTAAGAATCATTTGCATTCCTGAGTGCCTTCCCTTATGGGTAATAAGGACCTATAATTGGATACACAAATAGCACAAGAATATATTACAGTCCTCTAAATTGAGATTAGTTAAACTTTCAGATCTCATGAAGGAATCTTTAGCTCTTAAAAAATATGGTCTTGTTAGAAAATAGATTAAGAATATATGCAACTGGGTTCAAACTAGGTTTCTCATTTGCATTATGAATTTGTAATTATTTTTAATATAATTTTATCATAATACTTTGACCAAATAACCCACAACAAATATAATATGCATAAAATATTATTGACGAATAGATATTTGATAATTTTAACCAACATCTATATATGTAATTTTTTCACACTAACATATTATCTTTAATTTTACGATTACTGTTCATTAATTTAAGTAATTTAATTTAAAAATCACTGTTCTTCAACTACTAAAGCAATCTGATATAGTTAAGGCCTGTTTCAATAGTAATTTAACCTTAGTTTCAGAAGAATTTCATGTCTAAAAGAACAAATAGAAAATAAGTATTTTTAGAAAAAGTACTTTTGATTGTTCCTAATTTTGAGGAACAATCAAAATCTCCTAAGAATATTAACTAGCGCACAAGTATTGTTTGTAAAAGAAACAAGGAAAGATTTTTTTTTTTTTTTTAGGTAAAATTATTCATCTTTGTCTTTTTCAGTACAAATTAGAAAGTCTCTCTGGTCACTCCATTGTTCTGCCTGATAAACATAATGAATAACAAATTAACCTCAGAAAAGTCTCTAGTGGATATGTCTCCAAATAGAATCAAGCCATAAATAAATGTATAAATTAAGGAATTTCAGTAACAAGAAATTTACTCTTTTACCTCTAGGTATGAGAAAATACATACTATCTTCTCTTTGCACAGAAATCAGCTCCCTCTGCTCTAACAACTGCTTTGCCGATCTCCTCTCACTGCATATTCAGAAATAATAATGGGGGGTAGGTCAGCCAAAAAATTCTTAAGCATAGTAATGTTCTGTAATTATTTGGATCTGCATATCATTAGAATATGAGGTACTACTATATTAAAATGCCAGAAACAGAAGTCTTACTTTTACTTTTTTATGAGATTGCTAGCCTCATAAATTCCATCTCAATAATGTCAGTAAGATAACTAAAAGAACTATCTGCTTCACAGTTCTCATTAAAATAAGGTAGCTGCCATTGCTATTGCAAAAACCAATTAACCAGTAGCAAAATAGAAATGACTTCTAGTAACAATGAAACTTGGGGCTATTTACAGTCTTTTCTCTGGTAGAAGATCCTTTAAAGGACCAGTCAATGGAACACCAAACAACTTAAAGTGTGTGATGCTCTGAAGATGCTTCTAATCCCCAAAGCAATTTAAAGTTCACAATGTGGATTGGATAGAATTTTAAAACTTTCTAGTACTTTTGGGATGAAGTCCCTCAGAAGCAATTAAAACAAAGTTGTTAGTACAATTTAACTGAAGTGTAACACACAGAAAAACAATAATTCTTATAGTTTTAAACTCTCTGGAATGAGCAAATTTAGGATTGCACCCAGATGAAATGGTCAAGACATCAAAATTAGAATTAACTGTATCTGATGGAGAGGTGTGGCAGTAATCTGTGACACAATTCAAAATGTTGCTTTCTTCTTAATAAATTGATTTCTATTCACATTTATTTTGACCTTTAATCCTGAAATCTCAGAGCCCATAAGATTCATTCTGGTTCCATGGGCCCCTCAAAACAGCCATAACCATATGCACAATCATTTTAATTTTGCTCACTCATACCCTCTGTTCAAATACATACACAATAGTCCAACCTCGTCCAACTTGCCCTTCAATTATGCCCACATTGACATGGGCAGTTATGCCATACTGGCATGCTACACATGAGGCAGCTAACCAAACAATTTCCATGAGTGGGCAAGCTTTGCTTTTTTAACAGGAAAAGAAATTCTGACTTGAAGTAAATAATTATCACAATACCAACTCTGTCTTTTAAAATGAATTCATCAACCCTTAAAGAAGCAAATTCTTTTACATGGATTTTACAAACTATTCTAGCATACAAAAAGGAGCATCACCATGTTTAGTGTTAAAAAGAAGTGGATAAAATTTGACAATAGTGTTCTTTTTTTGCCAGTGGATACTATTTTTTAAAAGTCATTGAACAAGACATGCAACGTAATTCTGAAGAATGGATAAGCATCATATGCCATGAAAGATGGCACTATAGGCTTCAAAAAATCAAATTTGAAGAGCAATTCTCCAAGTTGTTAACTTTCTTCAAAGACATGTTCAGTATATGAGCTTTTAATGCAGGTGTTGAACATATTTTCTCATTAATCATTGTTCAACAGGCAAAAAAATTAAACAGTGACCACTATAGAAGCTATAATACAATGTAAATGGAAGACAGACTGTAACCACAAGGAGTTTTATAAGAAAATTTTGCAAAACAAAGAAATGGTAGTAGTACCAAATTATTTTAGAAATACAATTAAAGAGATGTGCAATATAGATATATACAATTTATTCCCAATAAGTAGCAAGTAAGTTTGTAGTATTAGCATTATTCTCATCATATTTTTCTTTTATCCCAATCTATATATGAAAAGAAAGTAGAAATGCATTGAATTTAACTGTGTGTCATGTCTTTTTATTTGCTAATCTGGCAACCCTAATTTCCTATGACTAAGATTTACATGGAATTCAGTCCAAGCCTGATTGCCCCATTCATCATCACTGTCAGTGCCAGCCCCTCCCAGGTATTGGCGAGAGCATGGGTCCCAGATCCCTGAATACTACTCACAATAATACTGTGAGACAGTATGATTTTCAAAACCTTCAAATGAGGAGCAAAGAATATTCAGTTTCTTAGTCCATTTAGACTGCTATAACAAAATACAAAAGAATGGGTGGTTTATAAACAGCAGAAACATTTTTCTCACAGTTCTGGAGACTGGGAAGTTCAAGAGCAAGGCACCAGCAATTCAGTATCTGATGAGAACCTGCTTCCTTATAGGAGTAAGGGATGTTTTCGATCTCTTTTAAAGGGCATTAATCCCATTCATCATGGCTCCATTTTCATAACCTAATCTCCTATCAAAAGTCTCACTATCATCACCTTGGGGGTTAAGTTTTCAACGTATGAATTGGGCACAATATATTTATCTAAGCCATTCTGGTAGATACAGGACTATAACAACAAGTGTACCTAGCCAAAACATAAACATCACCTATAGCTACAACTCTCCATCCTTTTTCAGAATGGTAAGAATAAACAAGTAAAATTAACTTAGAAGAGCTCATGAGCAAATACTGCTCTTCAACATTGCAATGCTCTATTCTTTCATCTCATCTTCTCTCTTATTTTATTTAATTCAGTAAACACTAACTGAGAACTCTTTTGTTCCAGGGACAATGTCTACTGCTGCCCTAGATCATATGAATTACTTTAATCCTCTACCAGGTACTATAGCCTATTATGCAAATGGCAATCCAATGCCTATGGTCTTTTTTTTTTTTAACACATTTTTATTTTAAAATTTGGGCTACAGTTAAGGGTTAGGTATACAAATATGCATTGTGCAGGTACCCTTGTTGATGAGGTGTGCCCCCCATCCCCAGACAGATATCGATCACCATTAAACCTACCTCCCTTCCCCTCCCTGACCTCCCCGCATAGTTTTCCACCACTTTCAATCTTTTTCTTATAGTATTGCAATAGTTGTTCAAGAACCACTTATGAGTGAGAACATGTGATACTCAGATCTTTGTTTCTGTGAGAGATTGCTCAGTATTCTAAATTCCAGTCCAATCCAGGTTGCTGCAAAATTCATGATTGTGTTCTTTTTTATGGCTGTGTAATATTCCATTGTGTATATGTACCACATTTTTTAATCCAGTCCTCTTTTGATGGACAGCATGGTTGGTGAACAATCTTGCTATTGTGAACAATGTTGTGATAAACATACATGTGCAGGTACCTTTTTATAGAATGATTTGAGTTCTTCAGGGTATACTCCTAGCAGGGGAATTGCGGGGTCATATGGAAGGTTGATTTTTATAGCTTTTAGGAATTGCCACACTGATTTCCACAGAGGCTACACTAGTTTACACTCCCGTCAACAGTGTGGAAGTATTCCCTTTTCACCACATCTTCTCCAGCATCTGCAATTTTTTGAGTTATTGATAATGGCCATTCTGACTGGAGTTAGGTGGTATCTCAGTGTAGTTTTAATTTGTATCACCTTGATGATTAGTGAGGTTGAACATTTCTTCATGAGTCTATTGGCCACTCATATGTCTACTTTTGAGAAGTGTCTGTTCATATCTTTTGCCTACATTGTAATGCGGTTGTTTGTTTGTTTTTCTTTTCAGCACGTTTGAGTTCCTAGTAGATCCAAGATGTTAGGCCTTTGTCCGACATAAAGTTGGCAAATACTTTTTCCCAGTCTGTGGGCTGTCTCCCTGCTCTTTTGATGGTTTCTTTGGCTTTGCAGAAGCTTGTCAGTTTAATGATGTCCCACTTGTCTATCTTATCTCTTATGGCCTGTGCCTTTCGGGTTTTGTTCAGGAATTGGATGCCAGTTCCAATTTCCATAAGGGTGTGTCCTGCATTTTCTAAGGTTCTTATGGCTTCAGGTTTTACATTTAGGTCTCTGCTCCATTTAGAGTTAATTTTTGTGTATCAAACAAGGGGTCTTGTTTGAGTCTTCTGCTTGTGATCAGCCAGTTTTCCCAGCACCATTTCCGAATAGGTTCTCTTCTCCCCAGTGGTAGATGGTGGAGACTTTGTCAAAGATGAGTTGGTTGAGAAATTGAGGTTTTGCTTCTGGAACCTCAACTCTATTCCATTGGTCTATCTGCCTGTTCCTGCACCAATACCAAGCTATTTTAATTATTGTAGC